TTTTGTCCGCTTATGATTTTTCCTTAATTCACAAACCTGGAAAAGAGATGGGCCATGTGGATGGCCTAAGTAGGCTACCCCTGCCTGATGTGGAGGCTGACCCTGCTCCTGCCATTAACATCCTTTCCATTCAGGAGTTGCCGGAATCTCCCCTGAATGCCCGGGATGTAGCTGCTGAAACTGCCTCTGACTCCACACTTACATGCGTACTGTCTTGGGTACTATCTGGGTGGCCTGATAGGTGCCCTGGTACTGAGTTTCAAGTTATTGGTACAAGAGGCACGAGCTATCCACCTTTAAGAGTTGCCTATTGTGGGGCAGCTGCGTAGTCATTCCTACCTCGTTAAGGTCTAGGTTCCTGATCTCCCTTCATGAAGGTCATCCTGGCATTGTCCGGATGAAGGCTCTTGCCCGTAGTCACTTATGGTGGCCAGGGTTAGATAGGGACATAGAGGCACATGTACATGGGTGTCACTTGTGCCAGCGCTTGAGGCCAGAGATGCCCCAGGCACCTGTGCACAAGTGGGAAGAAACGCTTAGGCCATGGTCACGTGTACATGTAGACGATGCTGGACCATTTCAGGGGCAATTCTTCTTGGTGCTTGTGGACAGCCATTCTAAATGGCTGGAGGTCATACCTGTATCGTCCACCACTACTGGCAGAACCATCCAGGTGTTGAGGGGCATTTTTGCAGCTCACCGCTTGCCAGATGTCTTAGTTTCAGACAACGGCCCACATTTCATGTCGGCTGAGTTCCAGGCTTTCCTTCAAGCAAACATGATCCGGCATGCGACATCGGCACCTTTCCACCCTTCCACCAACGGTATGGCTGAACGGATGGTGCGCGTCACCAAGGACGCCCTGAAGAAGCTGACTTATGGGGATTGGCATCATTGGTTGGCTGATTTCCTTCTTGCTCATCGCATTACACCTTCTGTAGCGACTGGGAAAAGTCCGGCTGAACTACGCTGGGGTCGTCGACTGACCACTAAATTGGACAGGTTGCATC